CATCAATGACGAAGTGCTCCCCAAAGTCACAGAACAGCTGCCTGGAGAGGACCGATGGGGCTTTGCTGGAGAAGCTGCCTTATCAAGCTGCCCCAGCACTGCCAGATCCTGCCTGGGCCAGTGGGATGGGGACTGCAGCACAGGGCTGGGAGCTCTGGGGATAAGGTGACTTGGAGCCAGTGGCAGGGCCCCATGGTAGAGACCCCTTACCCTGCCAGCCCCTTGGCATCGGCCACAATGAAGCAGATGCCCCGAGCATGGCAGAAGTCCCCGACGCGGAGCTGCTCCTCCAGCGGCGACTCAGTCAGCACCACCACCTGTGCCAGGACTATCAGTGGATGCCACCATCCCAAGGGGGGCCCCAGGGCATGGGGACACAGGCTTACCTGGAAGGAGGCGAGGAAGGCCTCTGACAGCTCCCCGGTATGAGCCTCCACCACCACACTGGGGTTCAGCTCAGCCAGGACTCGCTGGGATGCCTCAGCACGGTTCTGGCCCACATCGCTCTGCCCCAGGAGGAACTGCAGAGCGGACAGGTGGTGGGGCACCCTGCAGGTTTGGGGTGCAGTCACCACAGTGGGGTGCTCCACGGGGCCCTGTCTGCACTGGTGAGGGGGCCTCTGCTGAGGACCCTACCTGTGACAATGAGGGCACCCTGAGCCTTACCAGGACTCCCAACCTGTACCTATTATTGAGAGCCCCCTCACCATGTACTCATACCTGCAACAGGGATCCCCCATCTGCATCTGCAGCCATTACTGTGACCTCCATCCATACCCATACCTGGTATTGGGACCCCCACTGGTCTGCACCCATACCAAGACCCCTGTCTGTTACCTGTATGTCATGGGGCCTCCATACAAACCTGTGCCCACTACTGGGAACCCTGTCTGTATCCATATGGGGAGCCCCGTCCATACTTGTACCGAGTACTGGGACCCCCAGGACCCCTGTCTATACCCATACATGTTATGGGGACCCCCATCCATACCTGTATCAATCACTGTGACATCTACCCATACCAGTACATATTAGTGGGACCTCTGTCCATGCCTGTTACCAGGCTCCCCACCCATATCCGAACCTACTACCGGCATTTCCCCTCGTACCTGCTATGAGACCCTCACCCGTGCCTGTACCCGTCACAGTGAACCCACACCTGTACCCAATACCGGGAGCCCCGCCCGGCCCCGCCGGTACCTGGTGGGCGCGGTCGGCCGCGCAGGCGGCGCCGCGATCGTGCAGGACGACGCGCCCCGTCCCCGACAGCACCAGCGTCGCCGCCACCTGCGCTCCGGTCCCGCGGAGCCCCGACACCAGCACCGCCGCACCGGGCAGCCGCCGCGCTCCGCCGCCCAGCACGTACCTGCGGGTAGCGGCGGGGGGTGTCAGCGGGGCCCGGGGGCCGTCAGTGGGGCCTGGGGGCGCGCCGCCCCCGCCCTCCTCCTGCCCCTGCCCCGGTGCCGTTCCAGTGCCATCCCCGCACTCACAACTGCCGCGAGTACCGGGACTCCCCGTCGCTTCCCGCCATGACGGCCCCGCCCACCGGGCAGGCCCCGCCCCGGGGAGTGTCATCCCGGAGGCCACGCCCCCGGCAGTGACAGTGACTGGCTGACTGAGGCCACGCCCCCTCAGCGCCCCGGAGCTCCGCCCTCCCCGTTCCCCGCGGCCATGGCGGCGGTGGCTCCGCCCCCGGAGAGCCCCGCCCTACCCCGGAGCCCCGCCCCCGGAGCCCCGCCCGTCCCGTTCCCGCGGCCATGGCGGCGGTGGCGGCGGGCTGGCAGCCGCCGTGGCGGGCGCTGGCGGCGCTGGGCCGGGAGCTGGCGGCCGAGTGGGCGGCGCAGGACGTGCGGGCCGCGCTGTGCCAGCTGCTGCTGCTCTGGCTGGGCCTCAGCCTGCTGGGCGTCCGCCTGGCCTGGCGCGCCTACGGCGGGGCGGTGGCCGCTCTCTGCTACCGCACCGGCCCCGCTGCCCGCCGCTCTCCCGGCACCGGCACCGCCTCCGGGCCCGCGCCCGCCCGGCCCCGCGCGCACTCCCTGTCCCCCGCCGGCCCGGCCGGACGGAACGGCGCCGCCGAGCGGCACTGCCCGCCCCGGTGAGTCCCGACCGCTACCGGGCCCAAAACCGCTCACCCACCGCGGCACCCGTCCGGCCCCCTCCGCGCTGCGAGCCCCGCCGCGCCCGACCAGCGCCGTCCGAGCAACGCCCACTCAGTGCCCCCCAGTGAACGCTCGGTCTCCTGACTGCACCCCTGCACCAGTACAGCCCAGTGAGTGCCCCCATGCCCAGTACGGCCCGGAGGGGTCCTCTGGACACCGGCTCAGTGCCCCCAGTCAGCACCCTCCCAAGCTGTACTTCCAGACCAGTGCCCCCACCCAGCTCTGCCCCTAGACCAGTGTCCCCCAGTGAGAGCCCCCTCCAGCTGTGCCCCTAGACAGACCAGTGCCCCCAGTGAGCATCCATTACAGTGAGCCGCACCCCAGACCAGTAAGCCCCAGTAAGTGCCTTCCCAGCCCTGCCTGCCCTACACAGACAGGCAGGTGCCTGCCCCAGTGCTGGGGTACCATTCTAGGGTGCTTCCCCAGCCCCCCTCACACTGCCCCTGTCTTGCAGGGATGGCCCAGCAGTGGAGCCCACGAAGACACACCGGGAGTGAGGAACACCAGGACCATCAGCTGGGCACTGCCCACACCATTAAAGTGCTGTGCCCACCCACTGCCCCTTGCTTTGGCGCCGCTATCACTGCAGAGGAGGCCAGGAGAATGGGACAGGGCATTTATTGGGGGTGGGGCACTGTGCCCATGGCAGGCACTGGCCTCACTTGGCTATGTAGTACTGGGTGGGCACAAAGGGCATCTTGGTGATGAGGGCCGGGTGCTGCTTCTTCCGCACCTCAACAGTGAGCTGGGTGCCCGCCCGGCTGTGCGCTGCCTCCACGTAGCCCATGGCGATGTTCTTGCCCAGGGAGGGCGAGGGGCAGCCGCTGGTCACTGTGCCTGGGATGTGAGGACATAGGGAGGTGAGCAGGGGCTGGCAGCACCACCCTCCCCTGCCATGGCCACAGTTTGGGGCTGTGCCTATCCCAGCCCCACTGCCCCCACCTACCCACAGGCCTGCCCTCGGGGCCCAGGATGGCCATGTGGGGCCGGATGGGGGGTCCCACTGACGTCAGCCCCACACGCTTGCGCCTTGGCTTCTCCTTCACTTGTGCCATGATGACTGCGGCACCGGGGAAGTCCATGGCTGCGCGCCGGCGCTTCCCTGCGGGGCAGAGATGGGTGAGGGTTGGTGATGCCTGCCTGGTCCCCTTGTACTCCCATTGGGAACACCTTGCCTCTCTGCCCAACCCGAGGAGGAGGTGTATGTGGCCCTGACATACCCAAGGTCCACATCAGCCCAGCCTCGGCAGGGGTGATGGTCTCATCGATGTCATTGCCGTAGAGGCAGAGCCCGGCCTCCAGGCGCAGGCTGTCTCTGGCTGCCAGCCCTGCCAGCCACACGTTGGGGACATCCAGCAGCCGCTCAGCCAGCTCCACCGCCCGCCCTGAAGGCACTGAGATCTGCGGGGGCACGTGGGCAGGGTCAGCGGGGCACGGCCTTCCCCTCCCTCGGTACAGTGGTGGGGGTGCTGGCACAGCTCCCAGGGTACCTCCACGCCATCCTCGCCGGTGTAGCCGCAGCGCGTGACCCGGCAGCCCGGCACGCCAAAGACAGTTGTGGAGATGCTATTCATGAAGGAGAGCTTGGCCAGGTCATCCAACAGCCCCGCTTGCAGCACCCGCACCATGGAGGGACCTGGGGAGGTTGGTGGCTGGGAGATGGCAGTGCCCAGGGAAGGGGGGAAAATGTGGGGAGGGCACTGACATCCGCTGGGCAAGGACCCAGAGGAGGGCAGGCCCATGTGGGGACCCTGCTACCTTGCAGAGCCAGCAGCGCGTTGTCTGACACCTCCACGTGGACGTCACTGCCAGTGGCCTGTAGCTCCTCTGCTCTGCCCTGCCAGGGTGACAGCAGGCTGCTAGCACAGCGGCCGGGCCAGGCCAGTGCCAGCCCCAGACGTGGCCACAGCCACCTCACCCTGCGCAACCAGGGCTGTCACCAAAAGGTGGCCGGACTTATTCCCACTGCGTGTCCCCACCGCCCACAGGGCTCAGGCATCCCCATACCCTGAAGATGGCTGAGTCCTTGTCAGCACAGCCGGCGTTGGACACCACATACAGGTGATCTTCCCACGTGTTGATGACTATGAGGTCGTCCGTGATGCCGCCCTTCTCGTTGGTGAGCAGTGTCAGGGTGCCCTGTGGGATGCGGCCCTTGGGAGCATGGGCGGGCTGTCTGGTCCCTCCCAGGGCATCCCGGGGACCTCTGACCCCACTGAATGCCCAGTGTCTGCCCGGTGCCCCGTACCTGTCCGGGCTTCAGCTCGGCGATGTCCCCCACCACCAGGCTCTCCATGAACCTGACGCGGTCCCGGCCGTACACCCGGGTCTGGAAGGGGCCGGGGGGGGGGGGGGGGGGGGCGGGGGGGGGCCCCCCCCCCCCCACCCCCCCCCCCCGACCCCGCTACCTGCAGCATGTGGGTGACGTCGAAGAGGGAGCAGTGCCGGCGGGTGTGCAGGTGTGACTGGAGGTGGCCCTGCTCGTACTGCAGCGGGAGGCTCCAGCCGGCGAACGGCACCATCCGCCCGCCGCGGGCCCGGTGCAGGGCATCCAGCGGCGTCTGCTTCAGCCCCTCCGCCGCGGTCCCCCCGGCCCCTCTCCGCGGCGCCGAGCCCGAGGGCCGGCGGGGCAGCGCGGCGCGGCAGCCCGCCCGCAGCATCTTCCTCTTCCTCCTCCCTCCCGGCACGGCTCGGACCGGCCCCAGGGAGCTTGGGACATGGAGTCCGCTCGGCCCTGGCCCTGGCCCCCGCCTCCGCCCCGGCCCGCCCCCGGCACCGCCTCCCTGGGGCCGCCGGCCACGGCTACCCCCATCCCCCAGAGACAGGCAAGCACAGGCAGGGCCAAGGTAGCAGCTTTTAGTGGTGACCGAGGTGACCCCCCAGCACGCCCGCACCCCTCGGTACCCCCGCACCCCCTTGCAGAGTGGGGTGGGGTCCGGGCTCTGCCCGCGGGACGTGCCCGGGAGAGCTCACAGGGGGCTCGGGAGCGGTAGCGCTGCTCCTCACTGGCAGACAGCGCAGGGGGAGTCGGGGAATGGGCACAGGGAGGGCTTTGGGACCCCCTCGGGGCCGCGGGGTCGACGGCCAAGGCGGGAACACAGGAGTCCACTTGGGCCCCGGGAGCATGGATGGGCACTTCCCTCCAGCCGGCATCAGCAAGTGGCACCGGCGGGCTCAGGTGTAGGAAAGCAGGTTGACATCGTAGCAGCCATCCACCTGGGAAAGAGAGGGGCTATCGGTGTCTGCACAGCACAGTCACTGCTGGGACACCCCAACCTCATCCCTCTGGCAGCAGCCCCTCCAGGAGGGCTCCCTGGCCATGCAGCAAGGCCAAGGTCCCTGTAAGTGGGGTGGGGGACTCACGTCGAAGCGCCCGATGCGGGCGGCTGCCTGGCGAGCCCGGATCACCTCTGTCAGCACCCACATTTGCTGGACCTCTGTCGACACCTTCTCTGGGTCGGGGAGCTCCTGGAAAGAAGTGATCACAATGCTGTGGAGAGAGGATGGCCTGAATGGGCTGGGTCACCCCAGGTTGGGGCAGTGGTGTGGCTGCACGGCTATGCTCCCCAGGGAGCTGGGCACTATTGTCCATCCTTCCGACCTGCTGGTGGTTTCCCAACATGGGGTGAGCAGGGCTCCCTTCTCTAAGAAAACAAGCAGCTGGGGAAGTGGGTGACCCTGATCCCTGGTGCTGTGGTGCCGACACAGCCCACCTGCTGGCAGGTGGCCAGGACGAGGACAGAAAGCCAATCACTGGCTAATGATTAAAAACCTAATCACACAGTCTAGTTTCCCAACAGCCTCCCTATGAAGTGCTCCCTGGGCTCGGGAGAAGAAACCTGGTCCCAGGTGCTGGTTCACCTGGCGACCTTTAGCCAGGTGGGACTGGTGGGCTCAGCAGCAGCTCTCCCAGTTGGGGCACAGCTCTGTGGCACCAGGCTGGTGGGTGCCTTGTGGTGATGCTGGGAATAGCCAAGCCCAGAGCAACCCCTGGCATCTCCCCTGGACTTCCCTTGCCGAGGAGAACATGTTCTAAGCAATTTGGGGTGCTCTCCCCAAACTGTCACACAGCTGGTCAGCAACCAGGGCTCCCGGACCTGCTGGGGCCAGCAGGAGCCTCACTGGTGGTGCAGTACGAACACCACAGCACCAAAGCCAGGTGGCAGAACTGCCTGGGCTGGTCTGGATGCTCTGCCACCCTCCTGCAGGTAGCATCTCCAGCTGATTCACCAGGTTCCCATGGGTGAGCCAGCTCCCATCTCAGCCCTGCTCTGCCTGGACTTTGCCCATCGAAGGCCACAGGCCAGGCAGATCTGGCTGGCAAGCTGTAAACACGTGCCGTTGCTGTGACCTCCCTCCGCCCGCATTCTGTCCCCAATGGGATACGTGCTCCCCAGGGCACACCCTCTGCAAAGTGCCAGGGACCAGCCAGGCCACCCTGTCCCCACACGTTCCACCCACGACTGAGAGATGCTGTGCACCCACTGCTGCCACAGGGACATCCCTGTCCCCATGCATCCTACCTGCTGGCTGAGCCATGCTGCGCACCCACTGGTCCCACAGGGACGTTTCTGCCCTTGTCCCCACACTTCCCACCTGCTGGGTGAGCAATACTGTGCACCCACTGTTCCCTTGGGGATGTCCTTGTTCCCATCCCCATATGTCCCACCTGCTACTGAGCCTTGCTGTGCAACCACTGATCCCTTGGGGACATTCCTGTCCCCAGACTAGAGGGCAGGCACTTAATTATCACCTCAAATCACACATCCCCATGGAGATATTTTTCTTCTGAACCCTGCAAACTACTTCCAGCACAAGTTGGGTTATTTCAGGGCTCCACAGCTATTCCAGGTGGGATCCTGAAGCTGACAGGGCAGGGATGGGGCTGGCAGCCCCCCGAGGGATGGTCCCAGTCTGCACCCCACACAGGTCCCTCCTTCCCCCCAGTACCTCAGCAGGGATCACTCACCCCGTGCAGGCTGGCTGGCTGCTCCGGAGGGGTCAGCTGGGAGAGCCAGGAGGGGAAATCCTTCTGGGGGCTCTGAAACAGATCCAGAGGGTCACACAAAGGTGTCCCCAGTCCCACCTTCATCCCTCACACCGTGCAGTGTGCTGGGGTTTGTAGCCCACCCGTAGTGATATTGCTATGGATGTAGTGTCACTTTTCCATCACCAAAGGGAATTTTGTGTTTGGAGTGGTTGTTTGCAACATATAACTTGATGCAGCAGCCTCCAGTTCCATCCTGCTGCTCAAACAACCACCTCTGACAGGGCAGGGCTGGGGCTGGCTGGAGCAGTCCCTTCCCCAGCACCCTTGAGAACAAGGGGACCCAAGTGCCCCAGTGAAGGACGAGGACTCGGACCCACGCTCCTGTGTGTGCTCCCTGGAGCTGTGCAGAGCAATGCCAGGCACAGGGCTGGGGATAGTGGCTTGTCCTGGCCCCCTGCCCACACCTGGCAGTGGGGCAGCACCAGCATCCGCTCACCTTCTGTCCAGGGGGGAAAATCTGCAGCTCCTCGATGGTGAAGTGGAGCCAGACTGGGGAGGGCTGTCTCAGGATGAACCGCATGGCTGTCACCTGGTCCACATCACACAGCATCTGTGGGGCAAGGGACAGGGAGTGTCACCACAGGGGCTGGTGCTAATCTGGGG